TTCTTTTCTTTTCTTTTCTTTTCTTTTCTTTTCTTTTCTTTTCTTTTCTTTTCTTTTCTTTTCTTTTCTTTGCCTTTCAAAGACTTGGAGATTTGGGCGAGGGTGTGTGTGTGTCCTTCTGCCATACAGGAAGGCCCCATCCAATCCCTCCCGCCAGATGGCCTTCCAGACTCTGCTGCAAATCCCCCAAGAACAGCTCTCACGAACTTCTTTTCAGATGACCAACGCAGTGACCAGGGACCCGTCCAGCGGCTGTCCGAGGGCAGCCTTGGGCCGCTCCTGGGCCTCTGTGCCCAATACACGGATCTTTCTGGAAAAGGGTGGATTGGGAAAAGGCCAGAGGGAATGGAGGGCCTCCTTGATGAAGTCCCCTCGCCAGGTGAGGCCAGGTCTGTGTGTCTGCTTTGGGTTGCAGTCCGAACTCAGGCTTCCAAAGTGCCAAAGCTATGGGTTTCTGTGACTTATTTTTCTCCTTTGTAGCCTGTTGGGATCCAGGTGGAGATCGAGGAAGACGGCAGAGAAGAACCATAACAGAAGGACCCTCATGGCTAAGAATGCTCCTTAGTTTATTATTATTATTATTATTATTATTGGATTATTGGATTATTATTATTATTATTATTATTATTATTATTATTATTAGGAGTTTATCCTGCAGATTACAGATCTCAAAGAGAAAGGAGAGCTGGGGTTTCACAAGGAAAGAGGGAAAACGGAGCCATTTCTAAATGATTCCAGGAATGTATTGTCGAAGGCTTTCATGGCTGGAATCACTCGGTTCTTGTAGGGTTTTTCGGGCTATAGGGCCATATTCTAGAGGCATTTCTCCTGACGTTTCGCCTGCATCTATGGCAAGCATCCTCAGAGGTAGTGAGGTCCTTGCCATATGCAGGCGAAACGTCAGGAGAAATGCCTCTAGAATATGGCCCTATAGCCCGAAAAACCCTACAGGAACCTAGTGATTCCAGGAATATTTCAGGTTATCTTGGGTTCAACTTGGGTTTGGATGCAGTTTCCTTGCCATTTGTTAAGAATAGCCACCATTCTTAGAGAGCTCCTTATATATTATATTTTAAATATATTATATGTGATATGTATATATAATATATAAAAAACATATTCACATATATTATATATTATGCTTATAATATAGATCTTATATCATGTAATTATTATACATATAATATATAGCATTATATATATATATATAATTATGCAATATATTATATATATAAATTTATTATATAAATATAAATATATATATAATATAATAATAATACAATATATAAAAATGATATATAAGATATGAAAAACCCAACTTTCAAAGTATAAGGACAGCCTCCTGCCTAAATCAAGATTCAGCATGAAATATTTGCAGGTGATGGAAGGCCAAGGTTTTGAGAAATAATACAAATATTGTAAAAATGTTTTAATAATAATAATAATAATAATAATATATTTAGGGATGGGCTTACCTTGAAAAATGGAGCGAAATTTTATGGCAATTTGTAGATACCAAAATGAAATGGAAGTTGCTTTCTTTCATGGAACAATTTCCTTTTTCTTCCTTTGGATGTATCTATCTATATACATAATAAAAGTGAAAATATGTATTTGTGTGCATGGCTGGAGTATCCCCTTATACAAACAAGGTCCCGCCTTCATAAACACTATATGTCCCACTACTCAGGAGACACCAAAGGCCCTCTCTCCAATAACATTGCAGGTTATAGCGAGTGCCGTGAACATGTCCAAGAACCCCGACAGTGTCCTTCACAAACACCACACTGCCCACCACCCAAGTGAAGGCTTTCATATGGGGACTATTTCATCCTAGATTGTATGTTTCCTCCACCACAGGTATCCTAGTGTTTCTGACTCATTGGTGTGGAATTTGCATGACCCCGCCCACTGCCTCTCCCTTAACCCTTCCCTATTATTTACTATGGCACACAGTAAACAGAGGAATTGGTCAGCAACTGAACATACTAGAGAGGTTTGGGGAGAGTTCATCATGATTTAGAGGAGTTGTAGGTCCTGGGATGTGTAGTTCACCTGCAATCAAAGAGCACTCTGAATACCAACGATGGATCTGGAGCTCAGTTGGCACACAGAACCCCCATGACCAAGAAAACATACTGGCGGTCTTTGGAGGGATTTATAGGAGTTGTAGTTCACCTATATCCAAAGCGCACTATGAGCCCAGACAACGATGGATCTGGACCAAACTTGGCATGCATACCCGATATGTCCAAATTTGAATACTGGTGGGTTTTGAGGGGAATTGGCCTGGACATTTTGGAATTGTAGGTCCTGGGATGTATAGTTCACCTGCAATCAAGGAGCACTCTGAATTCCACCAAAGAGGGATCGGGACCAAACTTGGTATGCATACCCGATAGGCCCAAATTGGAATACTGGTGGGTTTTGAGGGGAATTAGCCTGGACATTTTGGAATTGTAGGGACTGGGATTTATAG